AATATGTTCTGATCTTTATATTTGCAAGAACTACATTCTGTTTATACGTTATTTTTTATGGATACAAGTTATTTGAGTAAATGCTATTTCTTAATTAAACTGTATTAAATACGTTTAGCGGTCTGAATATATTATAAATTTCGTAGAAAATATGCGTTTTTCGACAGGAATCGAACCTGTATCGGAGAACGCATATTTTCTAAGAAATTTCTCGTCCATTCAGGACGGTGAATGTAATTACTACTGTTTAATTAAAACAGTGCATTTACTCAAATAAGCCATATCCATAAAAATAACCTATAAACAGAAACTATATTATATCAGATCATTATGGTCGATTTTCATTAGTTCATTTTTTAACATAAAATGACAACAAATTGACTCTGGCATTTGTTTTGATACCGATTTCTTGTGAGTTCTAGATGGAAATTGTTTTTTTGTTTGCTTGTTTGCATGTTTTACGGTATATCAACCTCAATGAGTTATTTAACGCCAACAATTTTTTTTATTGCTGCTAATATTTTCTTTTTCAAAAATCCATTTCTGGGAATATTTTTTTCTTCAAAAAATCTATTTCTGAGAATATTTTTCCTTCAAGAAATCTATAGCTAGCAATGATTTTTTTTTTTTTATGTAAAGCTGTTTGTATTGCTGGTATTTTTTTTTTAAAGAATTGCTGATAATTTTTCATTCAAAAATAATTGTTGGAAATCTTTTTTTTTACAAATTATTTCTGGTATTAAACCTGTTTTTACACAAGTTTGGGTGTTAACTATTTGCCCATAGCTGAGATCCTAACTGGTGCTACCACTCCGGGTCAGGCTGAACCTGGGAACGCCAGCAATTAAGAGGTGGTTCCACGCTCCTCAAAACCTGATCCGAGGCCTTGCTGTTGGACGAAGTTTATCGTCATACCCAGGACAGGGGTGTTGTTAATCGTCATATCCAGGACGATCCAGATTGAAATCTTTTAGTTGCGAGTCGGACTTTGTTGAATGTTGCCTATAAATAAAAGCCTTTAAAGATGTAGGATGAAAGGTTGCACTTCCGCCATATTGAGCTCTATGAATTTCGGAAAGGAGTAAGCGTCGTAACTGCGACAAAAAAACAAAAAAAAAACAATCATAAATACCTTGACCCTGCCACGGCAACGCCAGAGTGCTTGTTGCAAAAGTGACCCTGTAGATGCTTAAAGAGTTGAAATAGTAAACCCTTCAACATCCACTGTATTCTCCTGTCATAGTTCTTTTGGATTTTCATCCGCTCTCTACAAAACTATTCAGCGTATTTTCCGGCTTACAACACGCACTTTTTTTTCCCTAAAAAATACCCTGAAAATACGTCTTCCAAGACGAATGTAATGCAATGCCCAGGTTCAATTAACCTTGGACGGTCACCTAATTGGCTTGACTGACAGGGACGTGGATTTGTATCTTGAGTCATTACACTATAATGTTAGCTATCTATTTCAGCCTTTTATGTGATGTAACCTCAGTACTTAGCTGTTACAAGAATTCCCAAGACTATAAACCTTCCTGGAGCTGAGCCACAAACTTAAACATGCTCTGTTTTCTAGCAGGCTTGGGGGCCTTTCAGATCTTACTAGTATATCATTGCCATACAAATAAAATCAGACGCTTGATTAATGTAACAATACGTGGCGCCGGTATGTGAGGGAAATATGGTGAATGTTTTGTTGTATGAGAATAACTTTCTTTTTCTTAGAAATTTCTTTCCAATATTAGGGCGCGTCTTCCAATCCGCCATGTCTTGTAATCCGGAAAATACGGTAAATGGAAGCAAAACCTGACCCTGTACCCAACAATCTTCTTTCAACAAAAAAACATGGCGTTTCTCAAGTTTCTAGAAAGATGGCTGACACTTGTTATGAGCATTGGGTAATATGTACTTAACGTTTTTGTGAGCATGCACAATTTTTTTTTTTTTTTACTTTTTCTAATCGGGTACAAACTTTTGCAATTATCTAATATATATAAATAACTTTTTGAGGGAAGATAATGGAGCGGTTTCTTATTACCTTTCCCAGATTTTTACTCTTAGAGTAGTTCTTAGACTGGCTGCCATCCAAGAATTGACATCCTGGTCTACCCTACTATTTAACACATCAATGTGAAATTGAATTTGGGCTTGCATTTGAAGCCGGTTAGACTGTTTCCCTTTCGGCACGGATAGCCGATACACTAACAGCAAATCCACATTTGACTAATCTACTAATCTAATTAGTGACATATTTGCTCTTTTTACTTCACTTTTTTTTTTTTTTGCTATTTTCTTAAGCGGAACTGACTTTTTTAATCAACGAACATTTTATTATATTGAGAAAAGAACTCGATGACAACTGACCGGACGTCAATGTTACGAACTTGTTCATACAATGCATGATTCCAGCCTCCACGTCTGAGGCTTGTTGGTTACTACTAATAATGGTTATCTGAAATAATTGACTAACGTTTCCCCTCACCCACTTTCTTTACACTGTTCGTGCGCTACTTATCTCAGGTTATAAACAAGGACGGGACTGAAAAGGGATGAGGCCTGAGAAACAAAATGAAATCCGTAAAGGGTAGACATTAAAAAGAGATAAAGAGATAGATAAATAGATAGCTGGATAGATAGACAGACAGATAGATAAATAGATATTAATGAACAAATTGAGAGAAAAAAACTTAACAATCAGTGTATTTACAGTATCTATCTATCTATCTATCTATCTATCTATCTATCTATATATTTGTAGGTCTGATCAATTGGATCGTATTTACGATTCCAATGGAACAAATTATGACCATGGAATATCAGTATTTAAGCCTTTTTATATATATATATATATATATATATATATATATATATATATATATATATATATATATTCAAACTTAACATTCGGTGTATTTATCTATCTATCTATCTATCTATCTATCTATCTATATATATATATATATAGGAAAATCAATCACAAAGTCATTTAGAGCTTCTTCAGACTACAGAGATGTAACTGCTCAGGGTTCTAGCGTTTATATGTTTTTTAGAGCCCTCATGAAATAAAAATTATTACCTATGGGATTTTGAGTGTTTGATATTCATTAATTAATAATAAATTGGCTCTGTCTTTTGACATAGAGCTCTCCAGGGATCTATATCCTCCTGGAAATTTGCATACGGATTGTATCATACTATACATATATATATATATATATATATATATATATATATATATATATATATATATATATATATATGTATATGAATAAAAACATGTAATAACTGATACATTAAAGTATAGACATATTGAAAACCCAGTCACCCCTGTCTAGAAAAAAGATTTTATCTGTAACCTTGAAACATGAATTTTGTTTTAGCTGTGTATTTAAAACCCAGTAATTTTAAAAGTTACTCCAAAATTCGCTTGAGGATGAAATGGAACTAATGTCTTACAAAATTAAATTCAGGGCTTTTAGCTTCCATTTTGAAACATGGTTAGAACTGTGTAGCAAAAAAAACATATTTTAAATCAATTAATTTATTATATATATATATATATATATATATATATATATATATATATATATATATATATATATATATATATATATATATATATAATCTATCGGCCGAAGTTGTGTAATGGGTAGCAAGCTTGTATTGCTAAATTAATTACCACATGAATGATGAGTTCAATTCTCACTGAGTGCTCCATTCTTTTTGGCCACTTGTCACATGAAACCTACGCTAAGAGAATCGATATATATATATATATATATATGTATATATATATATATATATATATATATATATATATATATTTTGAACAATAAGAAAATTAAAAATTAAAAATTAAAATCATTAGACACACTGGGTTGTAGATTAATATTCTTTCGTTTTTTTTTATTATTATTATTCCATTTAAATTCCTCGACTAGTTTCGACCGAAATGGCCATCATCAGGAGGCGAAATATTTCTTCTTGCTGTTAGCAAGGAACTACAGAAATGAATGTCTTTTGTTGGAGAAATGAACTTTTGTCTGTAGTTTTCATTTGTTTTTTATTTTTTTATCTTTTTATCTTTTTCACATGAATCTTTTAACATTCCTTGTGTTGGTCAAACAGTCTCTTTTAAGTTGTTATTTGAACAATTGTTATTAATTGTTAAGTTACATATATATATATGTATATATATGTATATATATATATATATATATTTATTTGCTCTGTTATTACATTGAGCTTTTGTGTGTGTGTGTGTGTGTGTGTGTGTGTGTGTGTGTGTGTGTGTGTGTGTGTGTGTGTGTATTCATTCGATCCCCCAACAAGTGGGCAACAGTTATATGTGAAAATGTGCATTTTACACTCTTTCGGCATGCACACGAAAAATGTTGGTAGTTCATGTGAACATAACATGCACACACCTACTCTAGCTCACCGATGGGGGACAGGCTCATTCGTTCAAAAATCGTTAGAAATGCCGAAAAGTCGCTATTACTAGGGAAAAAAAATAGAAACCTGAAAAGATTCAAAAGCGTACCTGAATAGTGTTTGATTACAATGTGAAACAATACGGTCTTAGCAAAGGTGCATAACACTAAAAGCAAAAAAAGCGCACAATAACCGGGCCCTCAAAGTACCCCAGCATATAATTTAAATAAATAAAGTAAGCAACTCTCATGGTTGTTACAACGGCAAACGGAAGTAAACCAGAAAAAAAAATATGTTGAAATGTTACGTAATATCAGTTCTCCTTATATGACAGGAAATAATGGACAATCTTCTCACAGATGACGAAGCGATTTTAAGCAAGAGAATTGTGGTTCTACAGGAGGATGATGAGGATCCCATGGACGAATCATGTGAGCAACGACGAAGTTTTAGAGAAAACGAAATGCAAATGAAGAGGCCGCTTATACTTAACGTCAGAAAAAGACATTTCTAGGAATCATAATGAAGAAAGAGCCCTTGGAAAATTTTATTCTAACAGAACAGATTCAAGGCAAGAGAGAGAGGGGAGAAAGAGGGGGGAGAGAGGGAGAGGGGGAGAGAAAGAGGGGGGGGAGAGAAAAGGGGGAAGAGAAAGAGGGGGAGAGAGAGGGGGGAGAAAGAGGGAGGAGAAAAGAGAGCGTGAGAGAGAGGGGAGAAAGAGAGGGAGAGAAAGAGAGGGAGAGAGAGAGAGGGGGAGAGAAAGGCATAACCCACCTAATAAGGTTATGTAAATGAATGATAGAACAGGGTTTAAGAAAGACAGCGAAGAAGAAAAAAAAAGCTAAGAGCCACAAAGGACAGGAAATTGTGGAGAGCCATGATCGTCAACGCTCTGAAGGAACATGGCGCATAGAAGAAGGTATTGACAAATATGGGCAGATAAAGCCGAACAAAGCTTATATTTACACGCGCGCGCGCGCGTGCACACACACATAATGTGTAAGTGTATGTATACTTGGGTGTGTTTCGTGTATCGATAGGGAGGTATACGTGGAGATCAATAGATAGAGAGGTAGAAGAGATAGCACACGAGACTAATAGATGGGCACCGAGAATAAGTAAAAAGCATTGGAACGGAAATAGATCAAAAGATAATGAGCGAGAACCAGGGATAGCGAGGCGGGGGGGGGGGAGGTGGTAGAGAAAGAAAAAAAGAAAGAAAGAAAGAAGGAAAAAAATGAAGAAAGAGAAAGAAAGAAAAAGAAATGAAAAGTGAACTAGTTTTTTTTTTTTTTTGTTGTTTTGTTTTTTGAGGATGAATAATTGAGACACAGTCAAAAGGGAAAAACGGTGTTGGATGCGAGGAAACGGAAGACCTAAGATGAAGGATTTAATGGGTAAAATGATGGTCAGCAACCTAGAATATGGGGAGGGGAGATAGGGGAGCGGCGAAAGGAAATTAGGGAGAGAATTATAGGAGAAAGGATGGGGACAAGAATCCATCATGGCGACAGCTGACTGGGACATGGCCAACAAAATGATTCTTTTTGCCGCTAACGAGGGCAAACTCCAACGTGGCCTGTCTAAAATGAGACACGTACAAACTTATTTTATTAAAAAAAAAAAAAAAAAAGACAACACCCTCTGCTTGCTTTCCAATATAGCAATTCCGTGGGGACATTTGCTCAAAGCTGAAGGCGATGTTATTTGCTTTATACCTGGAGAATTTGTAATTAAATCTACAGAAAAACAGCAACAAAAATAAGACGATATATCTTTTGCACGGTAAAGCTAGTTTGAGCATGTGGTCACGTTTCTTGAGACAACCTCGTTGAATTCTAAGCTGATCCTTAGCAGCCAGTATGCTAAGCACACAGTGCTCCTTCTCGTGAGAACGAAAAAGAAATATTACTAGTTACTGCACACTGATCTACTGGACGAGTATCCTCATCTTTGTTGTTGTTTAGTTCACAACCTTTCCGTTTCTTTACTTTCTACCTAACTTTTACTGTTTTGAAAGACTACTTTTAATATCGACATCGTTTTATTCTTGAACATTTGATATTGCTAAAAATTTCTCATTCTTTGCGTTTTTCGTTTCCTTTTATTTTATACCCCACCTCCTTTTACATTCATCCTGTATCTTATCCCCATCTTGTTTGTTTGCGTCTTGGGTATGACGATAAACTACATTCACATCCTGGGTATGACGATAAAGTACGTCCAACAGCAAGACCTCTGATCTGGAGGTTTTGAGGAGCGTGGAACCAGCTCTTAATTGCTGGTGTTCCCAGGTCCATCCTGACCCGGGGTGGTAGCACCTGTTAGGGTCCCAGCTATGGGTAAATTGTTAACCTCCAAACTGGTGTCAAAACACTATGAAAGTGTAAAAATTGGTCTTAATACCTGAAATACTTTGTAAAAAATATTACCAACAATAAAGTTTTTGAAGAAAATATTATTACCAGCAATACATTATTACCAGCAAGACTTTTTGGAAAAAAATTACCAGCTATACATTTTTTGAAAAAAAAAAAAAAGTACCAGAAATAGATTATTTAAAGGAAAAATATTACTAACAATACATGTTTGAAAAAAAAAATATTACCAACAATAAAGTTTTTGAAGAAAAAATTATTACAAGCAATACATTATTACCAGCAAGACTTTTTGGAAAAAAATTACCAGCTATACATTTTTTGAAAAAAAAAAAAGTACCAGAAATAGATTATTTAAAGGAAAAATATTACTAACAATACATGTTTGAAAAAAAAATATTACCAACAATAAAGTTTTTGAAGAAAAAATTATTACAAGCAATACATTATTACCAGCAAGACATTTTGGATAAAAAATTACCAGCTATACATTTTTGAAAAAATAATATTACCAGAAATAGATTATTTAAAGGAAAAATATTACTAGCAATACATGTTTGAAAAAAATATTACCAACAATAAAAAATTTCGTCGGCATTAAATAATCCATTGAGGTTAATATGCCGTAAAACAAACCAAACCAAAACTTGTTTGTTTGTCTTCTATAATCTTCCTTACATTGTGTGATCTCTGAAAATATATGATCTTTGAACCCAAGGAAAATATAAGCGGGTGTTGATTTGGGAATTTGCGTTCAGATTAGGTCAGGTCAAGCTTTTTAACCCGATGACATTTCAAATACGTTGGCCAGTCATTATCAAAGGACAAACAATTTTCAGACTTTCTTTGCTTCAGAGTCACTTTTTCGGGCGTATGTTTTCCATCCGCAGTGTAAATTTAAGATTATATTAGAAGAACGCTTTTACCATAATCAGTTGAGTTAGCGCCAAGACTGGATTAAGCAAGTGCGAAATGTGTTGCATATATCATAGAGGCGCTCTAAATTAAAGAAAGAAAAAAAAATGATTTACTAGTATAGTGATAGAGCTTGTAAAACAGGTAGATATTTAAACATCTTATCAACAAAGCCAGAAAAAATATGAGGCAAATGATTCTAACGAGATATTTGAGTAGGTTTAACGGGCTCGATATAATGTTACCTGTAATAATGAGTGATTAAAGATGTAGATCTCTCCCGACAGGTAAACGTTAACATTACCAGACCGCAAGATGTCGGTTTCACCAAGCAGGTTGAAAACATTTTATGCAGGGACGTCAAAAATACGAGACCAGTCATATTTGCTATTTTTTTTACTAAGTTAATCCGTCGCTTTTTTTTTCCGTATCCCTTCAGTACGTAGGCGATCATGGCTATCCACTTCTTCCTATCCCTTGTGGTTCTCAAGAAGTTTTGTCCCTTTGCTAATTCCCCCTTCTGTCATCCACTCGCTTAAGCCCCCCCCCCAGATATGTCTGGTGTTGCTCTTTGTCACCCTTTTCCTCTATTCGACCTGTGAGTATCAGATTCTCCAAACTTTCCCTTGTCATTACGTGTCCCAGAAACTTCATCTGCCTCTTCCTGATGTTAAGTATAAGCTTCCTCTTTGTTTGCATTCTCTCCAAGACCTTATCGTTGCTCACACGCTCGGTCCATAACATCCTTAGCATCTTTCTGTAGAACCATACCTCTGTTGTCTCGAGTCTCTTCTTCATCTTTAATGAGATCGTACAGAATTCACAGTCGTAAAGGAGGACAGATGTCACGTAGCAGCTTAGTACTCTTTTTTTTTTTTAGCTACCAAAGAAATCCTCCTGTCTCGTAATACTCTGTCTATCTTTTGCAATGCATCTTTAGCCATCCAAATACGCACTTACCGACCTCTGTCAAAACACTTCCCAGATATTTAAATCTCCACACCTGCTTGATTTTAGTATCCCCGAACTGTAAATCGCATGTCAAGCTCATCTTTTTTTCTTCTGGTGACCATGCATTCTGTCTCCTTGTAGTTTATGCTTAGAAATCTTCTCGCTCTCCTTCGCTAACTTCTGTAGGAGTTTTTGTAATTTCTTTTCCGAGATTGTCTTCGTTTTTCCCAGTGATTTCCAGCGAGGTGTCTAACGCTCTCGCGAAAGCGCTATGAACTCTCCAGAGGGAATTGAGTGTCCACGGATGCTTCTTTTGTGAGATGCTTGATTTGAAGTAAGGTTATTTAACTCTCTGAATACCGATTGTATCGCGTCAAAAACAAATGATACGCATTTGTTTATAATTTTCTTACATTTTTAGACGTATCTGGATATATAAATAATATAAAATAAACACCGAGGAAGGACTGTCCATACGCCCGAAAATTAAATAGCCGTAAAATCACTCCAGTTTAAGGAGACCCCCCCCACTAAAAACACCAGAATATATTCATTACAAACAGAATAACTCTTCGGCAAAGGCGCTTATAATGCGAAAAGTAAAAAGGGCTCAACAATGGTGGGGTACCCAAAATGTTCCCATACCAGAGCATATATATTATTAACATTCAAAAAAGTAAGACACTTGAAGGAACAAACTTAAAATGATACCCCGGAAAAAAAGAGCCCAATACTGCAATGGCAGAGCATATTATATTAATCATAATCTTTCTGACTGAATACGACCGTCACGTTCCCTGTGCACTGAAATCAATTAGGTCAAGTGTATATACATAATTAAACATATGCCAATTATTCGTTTTATCATAAAATAAAAAATTCAAGGTTTTTGTTAATGGAATTTTACAGGCTGATTGTTATACACGTTGTCCATAAAACCTATTTCAATTATGTGCCATGCGTGAAACACGTTTGACGAGGCGAGTTTTTTTTTCCCGCAGTAGGTTGCCATTTCTTTGTGGTAGACCGATTGCCATCCAAAGCTATAGAACCCGGTCTGCCCTGCTATTTACCCATATTGGGGGGCGGGGGGCGGAGAAGAAGAGGATTCATACCTTTCCCAAGGTTATTAGCACGTAAATGAATGTAATGGATCCCAATCCATTAAATTCAACTGGAATTCGAACTCAGCCCTCCGATTTCTCAATTAGAGAAGCTATCCTTTACTCCACCGTATGTGGACTAGATATTGTTTGCTTAACTAATTTAATACACCTCTAAATGGGTACCATTAGTTGCAGGAAGCACATCAAGATGGTACTCGATTCCTTGCCATGTTCACTGTAGCATAGCCTCATCAGTGATCTTTTGCTTTTAGAACCGGTACCTTTGTTCGATACACGATATCTTTAACATAACCCCATAGAAAAAAGTCTAGGTGAGTGATATCTGTTGAACGAGGTTGTCAGTGAATTAGGCCATCACTTCCAATTCCCCAGTCTGGATATGTTTGATTTAGGAACTCACTGACATGCAGTCCCCAATGTGGTGGTGCACCATCTTTTTGGAAGATGATGGTTGGTTGAAGGTCATTTATTTGTGGTGCCACATCAATTTCCTTTGTAATAAATTTTATAAATTGTAAAGAGACTCTATGGATACCCTGTATATTTACTAATTTAGTAAAAGCTTATCGAAATAGATTAAACATATCTAAGGATGTGACATTGATATTAATTAATTATTTAGGAAATGTATGGGATGAATTGAAAAGCAAGAAACCTATTTAACTTGAAACATTTTCAAGATTATATACGTAAAGTATCGCGAAATATCTCTACTGATATACAGGGTTTCCATAAAGTCTCTTTACAGTTAAAAATATTACAAAAGCAAGGTGTTATGGGACCTTACCCATAACAACATAATGGACTATTCCATACGTAATAAATACTGCGCCTCAAGAGGAAGCAGAGAGGTCAGTCTGAAGTCTGGAGTGAGGTCTGTCAGAAGTCCGTCAGGAGTCTGTCAGTCAGAGCAGAGCGAGTCAGTCAGTCGAGTCAAGAGTCGAGTCAGAGGCAGTCCGAAACAGAGTCGCGTTCAGACAATTACTACAAGACATTGGAATAATGATACTGGTGGAGACTACATTGTTCTCTCTACTAAACCTGATTGTTCGTACTAACATTTTTTACTTCTCTGTATATATTCCTGTTTGTAATATATCTGTTTTATTCCGTACCTGTGTTCGAGTTCTTCTTTATTGGTTCTACCTTGGACTAT